ATTATGCTAACCGCTGATCCCCCGGTTACATTTTTTTGAAGGACTGTGAAAAGCTGTGAAACTAGAAAACTCTAATTATGTAACTTACGAAAATGTTTATGTTATTGTTTACCTTCTGGATGGTTTAATAAGGAAAAACAAGGAATTAAAATAAGTTGAAATTGTAAGAGCAATATCAGGAAGGATAAAAACAAATTTTCCCTTTTGAGATTGAGAAGTACGAAACAAAAGAACGAAAATGTAAGGAGTGCAGGTATTTCCAGACCCCTTTCTCTGCGTGTATGCAGACAACTCTCTAACACCAGTGGACCGGCTGATGCCAAGTGCCCACTCTCACGTCATACCAGGGAGACCCAGCGCCAAGGGGATGCCGGCCCCAAAGCATCTGTTTCTTCTGCCGTGAAAAACACCTCTGTCAGTTGAAGTCCATTTTCTGGCCAGTTTGCCTTTAAAGAAATATTAAAGACCATTAAAAATAATGTTTGAATAAGAATTAATAATAATTTTTTAAAAATTTAAAAGATGTTCAAGAGTATGCAAAATATCTTTTTAATGTTATTTATACCAGTATTACCTTATCGGTTAGTTCGAGGTTCCTGGCTGTTTGCTCCAACCATTTTGCAAGAATTTTCTGAAATGGAGGAATCATTTAAAAATAAAAAAATCTCAGGTCAGCAGGTGGCGTAGTGGTTAAGGGACTAGACTCTGCCCCCCCCGCACCCCCCATGGATGACTGCAGTTTAAGTCCTGGACCTGGTGGTTTGCTTTCTCATTTTCCATCTCTCACTCTCTCTCTGCTGAGCACACACGTCCTATAGAAAATTTTGAAAAATAGTAATAACAATAAATAAAATTAGATAAACAATTCTAAAATATAAATTAAGTTTTCAATGGATTATCATGGAAATAACTAAAAACCTTCATGATTATCTTTTAAAAGAGACACAAACGGGGTCAGTAGATGGCGTGGCAGTTAAGGCACTGGGTCCCCACATGGCTGACTGCAGTTTGAGTGCTGGACCTGGTGACTTGCTTTCTTACAGTCTCTCTCAAATTAAAAATATAATAAATAAAAATGAAATAATTCTTAAAAAAAAAAAAGAATTAAAATAAATAATGGGGACAGTCCAGTGGCCTAGTGACTAAAGGAGTGAGAGCCCACATGGTCAACTCTGTGGTCTGCGTATTGGCTCAGTGGTTTCAAAAGCCCACTAGGCACACGTGCTCCTGTGCAGCGTAACCACACCCCACTGCAGGCATGCTTTCTCCCTCTCTCCTCACTCTTTCCTCTTTCTCTCTTGGGCAAGTCACGTATCCTCTGGCAAATTAAAAAGGAAAAGAAACACAAGACCTAACATGGTGGGCCAGCAGGTGGCATGATGGTTAAGGTGCTAGATTCCCACATGGCTGTATGCAGTTCAAGTCCTGGACCCAGCGGGATGAAAACCACCACAGATAGATAGATAGATAAATGTTTTTTTTTTTTTTTCTTAAAAAGCTAGCTGACGTGAAATGACCTCCTTTTTAATGACCTAATGTAAAAAATGAAGCTAAATCATTGAGAGAGGAAATACTGAGGGCGACTCACCTGTCCTTCGGGCACAGTCCTTCTCACAAATGGGATCACATCGTTTTTAAACCATGGACAAAGCTTTTGCAGAGAGACTGGTGTGGAAATTGAGTTGAGCAAGTTCTCAAGCATTCTCACATCGAACTTGCTTTCAAAGTTGGCCTAAATTAGATGGAGTGAGAAATTAAGATTTAGCTGACAAACTTCATCTGACAACCTCCCAAACATTTGGCAAACACCTATGGACAGTCATTTCAAGGACTCGACTTCTGCCTTTAATAATGAACCCTAAAAGAGATTTGCTTTACACAAGTGATTCAGATTGGAAGCTGAAAATTCCATGAAATCTCATGACAGTGCCAAAATAAAACTGAGAGACAAGACAAGTGGAGATGGTACTCTGAGGAGAACAGGACTAGAGCTGATCAGAGCTAGTCTAACAAGGTGTCTGTCAGTGTCATCACACCCAGACACTTTTTTTAGACAAATGTTCTATGACATTAAGGCTCTTTAGAGCAGCGATTTTAATGGACACAATCCCTCACCACATTCCGAGCCGATGGCCTCTCCATCAACGCCATCTCAGGAAGCCCACTGATAGAGCGTGTAGTAAAATGACGCCTTTTGAGCCAAGATTAGAAGCTAGACTTTCGCTGATGAGATAAAATAAGTTTCTGTTCCATCTTCTAATGAATTCTGACTTAATATCACCAGTTTTCTCTGGGGCGAGTTCATGAGACCATCTGAAAACATTCCATTATCCAGTCACACTCGCCGCCCCGTTAGTTTCTACCATCACCCGAACGCCCGTCTGGAATTCATTAGGGAGAAAAGGCAAAACGTGTTACCCGATGTCTGAGCCAAAGATACTGTGCACAGACAAGGTTTCCTTCTCTGAGCTGTAGAAAAATGTCTTTAAGATCATCTTCATTATTCAAAAATTCAATCCAGGAACTACCACTGGGAAGACAAAAAGACAAAAGCTAGTTGTTAAAAACTGGGCCAGCAGGTGGCGTGGTGGATAAGGCAGCTGGATCCCACAGGGACCACTGCGCAACTCAAGTCCCAGAGACACACAGGGTGTGCATGCGTCAGGTCAAAGTCCAAAGAGGAGAATGGAGGAGAGGGGATGGTGGTGTGACCGTTTCTCCTGGGTGGTGATTTTTCGCTTTTGCTCTCTCTCTCTATCTCTCTCTCTCTCTCTCTATCCCTTCCTAGTGAGTGAACTTTTTGAAAAGATTAAAAAAAAAAATTTGTCTCTTCTTCCTCAGATAATAACTACATATACAATTCTTTATTTTTTCTAGAATTATTTTATCTATTTAATTTTATGTTATTATTATTATTTTTAATTTGACCAGAGAAAGACAGAGAGAGAGAGGGAAAGTTAAAAAGCAAGCCGCCAGATCTGGGACGCAAACCCTGGTTGGCCATGTGGGAGTACAACGCCTTAACTGCCATGCTATCTGCTGGTCCCTATTTTTTATTCTTAAAGACTAAATTTTATACACAATGTCTGTACTTTAAAAAATTAATTTTACATTGTCTTGGTACTTGTACCAAATGAACACATATAAACCTCCTTCCTTTAGAGGATTACATAATATTACATGGCATGGATTCACTGTAATGTATTCAACTACTCTCCCATAATTGAAAATTCATGTTATTTAGGTTATTTCCAGTCTTTTGCTAAGACCAACAATGCCGAAATGATATTTGATCCTAATTAAAACTCAGAAATAGGGGCCAGCAGGTAGCATGGTGGCTGAGAAGCTGGACTCCCACATGGCTGACCACGGTTCAAGTCCCAGACCTGGCAGTTTGCTTTTTCATGTTCTCTCTCTCTCTCTCTCCCTCTCTGGTCAAATTTAAATAAGTAAATAAATAAAGTTAAATAAAGTAATTAAAAAACCCTCAGAAATGATGAATAGTCAGATAATGTAATGAAAAAAGCAAACATTCAAAAACCTGTATCATGTTGAAATGACAAGGCAAAAACAAGCATTTCTGTTAAGTCAGGCATAAAAGCAGGATGCCAGTGACAACTTATTATAACTATTGGTTAATAATATTCTAGAAGTACTGGCCAAGACCATGGGGTGAAAAACCAAAACCAAAACCAAAATCAGAACTGATGAGGCAAAATGATCATTATTTGAATATAATCCCAAGAGGAGAATGGAGGAGAAGGGACTGCAGTGTGGGCAAGTCCCCCCGGGGAGGACTTTTCGCTTTCTGTCTCTCTGTCCCTCTCTATCTCTTTGGCAAATGCACAGGCCCTATAGCAAAAATCTCTCTGAATATAACTATACAGCCAGAAAACACAAGATTAGTGAGTATACTACTATGAAAAATTAAAAAAAAAAACAAAACTTTGGAATGTTATAAAAAATACAATATTTCTCTGGATAAATGGGAAACGTACACACCTGAATTTTTCTGGTCCAAATGCTCCATAAAAAGTAGTCAGTTTAGCATGAGCCCTTAGTACCTAAGAGAAAACAATTGGACAACCTGAATATTGTGTGGAATATTATTGAAATGAAAGTAAAAATACTAAAAATTAGTCATCCTATTTCAGTAGGCTTACATGCACTCTTATATAATCCCATATTACAGGCCGGTTCCCATAAACAAAACTGATTTTATTTATACCATGCAAAATGATGTATAGGAATTACTTCCTTTGACTTCAGAATAATGTTGTAAAATAAATAGTATTCCCATTTTGCAGATAAGAAAACTCAAGTATTAAAATAATAACTTGCACTTGAAGAAGTACAGACCTATCTTAAATGAAAAATATATCAGAAGCTAGTCACCCCTAATGTAGTCTATAAATCTAATGTAATTACCTCTTTCAAGCCATCAGAATAAATCAGAACAGTTTTATCTTCTTTCTTCAAAAGCTAAGAGTGAAAAATAAGAAAAAGTAATAGATTATATGCTATATTTATTTTTCATAAAAGAAGATGATTTTTTGGAGAGGTTTTTGCTATAGGGCGTGTGCGCTCGCCAGAAAGACAGAGAGAGAGAGAAAGACAGAAAGCGAGAAATCACCCCCCCGGGGGGATGGCCATACCGCAATCCCTTCTCCATTCTCCTCTCAGAATCTTGGGCATGTACACACACGCACCCAGTGTGAGTTTAAGCCACCGGGTCCAGGACTTGAACCGCAGTCAACTACACGGGAGTCCAGTAACATAGCCATTACGACAACTGCTGGTTCCAAAGATGAATTCTTTAACACAGGAAGAATTATCTTTAGAAACTGGGGAGCAGGAGATGGTTTAACAGTTTCATCACTGGACTCTCATGTAGTTGACCATGGTTCAAGTCCCGGACCTGGCAGCTTAAACTCATGCTGGGTGCATGTACGTACATGCCCAAAATCCCGAAAAGAGAACGCAGGAGAAGGGATTATGGTCTGGCCATCCCCCCCAAGGGGTGATTTCTCATTTTCTATCTCTCTGGTGAGCGTATGCGCTCTATAGTGAAAATCTCTCAAAAAAAGAAAGAAAGAAATTGCACTGAGCCAGCCCCTGGCCTGGTGGTTAAGGAAGCTGGATCCTGCATGGCCAAGTGTGCAGTTCAAATCCCAGCCTCGGTGACTGGGAAAAATCCTAAAAGGGTGAAGAAATGGAGAACGGATTGACTATGCCTCACTGAGGGGTGCTTTTTTCCTCTCCGTCTTCTTTTGACTTTCTGTCCCTCTCAGGCAAAAACAAGTGCTTTCTGGTCCAAAAAAAAAAAAAAAAAATCTAAAGTTGACTGTGGTGAGAGCCACTGAACTCAGTGAGGGTACTGAAAAACCACGGAACTATACATTCTGAACGGGTGAGCTGTACACGTGGAGTATCTCAATACAGCAGTTACCAAGAGGCTTGGGGAAAAAATGGTACCAATAGAGAAGAAAATTGGAGGGGGAAAAAATGGTTTTGAGGTTGTAGGACCATAAGTAATAAAAACTAATCACACTGGGGCCAACGTGTGGCCTGGTGATTAAGGTGCTGGATTTCCACACGGCTGACTGTAGTATGAGGAGCCCTGGCAGCTCGGAAGTCATGCGAGGTGCGTGTGCACGCGTGCCCAAAATGCCAAAATGAGAATAAAGGAGAACGGACTGCAGTGCGGCCGTCCCTCCAGGGGTGTGGGGACGATTTTTCCCTTCCTCTCTGGTAAGTGCATGTAACCTATGGCCAAAAAAAAAGGTCAAATCAAATCCTTCCAAACAAAAACACCCAACTTACCCTGGTCTTGGCATAACTGAGCATCTCCTGGGTGGTTTCATAGGTTACCCACTGAGCCTTCAGGCAGTAGTTCACCACAAACTCATCGTCCTGTTCATAAACGGCAGACAGTCAGGAACCCTCCTGTTGGCCAACGCATCCACCGACTCCTTTAGCGCGTGCCAGAGAAAACGCACCTGGATTCTACGCAGGTTCTCCTTGGCTTCATCTACAAGGGTTTGCCACTCGGTCTGCTCGCTGGTGTCCACAGAGCTCAGAGCTAGTTTCTCCAATATATCGCTTGATTTGACCTTGTACACAAGCTGTAACACAGATGGGCCACATCGAGCCACGGGAAGGACCAGCTCGCTGAACTTAGTCATCACAGGAACGGAACTCACTCGAGTGAGGCGTGCCTGCATTTCACAACTGCTACAAGAGTGGGTTTTAAATGTTCTCACTACCCCCAAAAACCGAGTGAGGAGGTGTTAAGCAGCTTGACTTAATCATTACGTAGTAAACATATATCAAGACACCACATCGAAACAACACATTTACTCCGGAAGGGTACCATGTTATTTACCCCCAAAAAAGAGTTTCATATCAACGACCTCATTTAATCCTCACGAAAACCTACGAAGCAAGCATTTATACCTCGTCGTAACCCACTTTACAAGCAAGAACACTGAGACGTAAGAAAGGTTAAGGGCCAGCACGTGGCACAGAGGTTAAGGCGGCTGGGTCTCACTGAGCTGACCGCACGTTTCGAGTCCCAGACCTGGTGGCTTCAAAGTGTGTGTGTGTGCCCAAGATCCCGAGGAGAATGGAGGAGGAGGGAAAGTGGCGTGGCCATCCCCCTCGGGGGCGATTTTTTACTTTCCCTCTCTCTAAAGAGTGCATGTGCTCTTGTCACAGAAATGTAAACATTTTCTTTTTTTTTAAATTTAAACATTTTCAAAAAAAAAAGGAAAGAAAGGTGAAGTTCTAATCCTTGCTTGCATTCCTTCTATTCCTTCCAATGTACTAAACATTTAGTTTCAAAAACAAAAAACGAAGCTAGGTAATGTGTCTGAAATGACACAGTATGACAGCCGTGTCTGGATGACACTAAATTCCAGTTCTGTCTCACACGTCTGTCTCACCCCTGACTACACTCAGCTTGTTCAGTAAACAAATGAATACAGAAATGATTACCTCGACATCCAATCCGAACTGGATGGCAAAGCTCTCGGCCTCTGCGAATCGGTGTTTGTGAAGTAACCGACTCAATCTGATGAGTTGGAAGAGAAATTTCATTACGTGTCTGCTAATCAGGGAATTTAAGATTTTCATCAAGGAAAAGGGGTTAAAAGAAAATATTACCTGTTTTCTGGCAAAGCTTCTGTAAGACATCTGAGTACTACAACAGAGACTGAGTCTTCAGGCAGTCTGAAAAAAGTTTTCACTATAAATGTGCTTGTCATGCAACTAATCAGTAAATCTTAGCTTAGCCACTATTTAACAATTTATCTGACCAAAAAAAAAAAAAGACCTACGTTGGATCATTTTTGCAGATTCCTTCCAGAAGATATATAGTATCCTACAATAATAACAAAAGTATGATTAAAATTTAAATTAAAAAGAAATATATTTCATAATTTACTAGAGTAGCAACCGATTCGAGCAAAAATTATGCATTAGTGAGTTTTAAAACAACTTGGGAAAAACTGTTGGAGAAAAGGGTATTTCCATAGTCTCAAAATAACAGCACGTACGTTACTTATTAATTATAAAAGAGAATAATGTGGGGACCAGCAGGTGGCATGATGGTTAAGGTGCTGGACACTCCCACATGGGGTTGGCAGGTGGTACAGTGGTTAAGAGTGCTGGAATCCCACATGGCCAAGTATGTTTGAGTCCCAGACCTGGCAGTTTGCTTTCTCTCTTTCTCTCTCTCTGTCCCCCTCTGGTCAAATTAAAAAAACAAAAACAAAAACAAAAAAAAACTGAATAAATAAAAAAAAAACCAAAAAAAAAAAAAAAAAAAAAGAGAAAGAGGGACCAGAAATTGGCATAATAGCTATGTTGCTGGACTCCCATGTAGTCGACCATGGTTCAAGTCCCAGACCCGGTGCCTTAAACTCACGCCAGGGGTGTGTGTGTGCCCAGGATCCCAAGAGGAAAATGGAGGAGAAGGGTTCGTGGCGTGGCCATCCCCTGGGGGATGATTTCTTGCTTTCCCTCTCTCTGTCTCTCTCTTTCTGGCGAGCACACGCGCCCTATAACAACAACAAAAAAACCCAAAAACTTTTACCCCCCCCCCCTAAAAAGTTGATCATGAGCTCAGCCCCAGGAGCACAACTGAAACAGCACAGTGCGCAGTGCTGCAGCCACGCGAGGTCCCGGAGCAGGAGCAGAGGAGCAGAGGCTGGCTGAGGCTGAGGCTGGGTCATGGCAGGAAGACCCTGCTGGGAAGGCCTGGCTCCACTCTCCCCTCTCTGTCTCTCTTTCTCTTTCCCACGGAAGAAATAAACTAAATCACAGAAGTGAATAAATAAAAGCAAATTAATTAGTATGCATATTTCCTACAGAAACAAGAAAGGTGAAGGAGACTGCTGTTTTACTTGATTAATTGGCCTGTCTGCCTTCCTTTCTTCCTCCCTTTTCAAATTGCCGGAGGGAGTTTGTGCTCCTCAGAGAGACGGAGAAAGAACAGCACCTCCCTGTGGGGCGTGGCCACACCACTATGCCCTTCTCTATTTCTCCATCCTGTCAGGATTTTACCAGGAGCGTCTGGGAACACTGAGCTTCGTCCACTTCATTCACACCGTCCTTACACCTAGATCTCCTCCGGTGGCCGGGAGTCTCTGGAACATCTTCAAAATTCCACATGGAAATGATCTGCTCAATGATCTTTCTGCCCCGTTCCAACGAGGGGCAACTTTCTCCTTTGACATCCTATTCAACTTCGGTGGAATCTCAGTCACAGATATACACGCCCTGTCTCCCGAGCTGCCAGGGCCAGGAATCAAACCACGGTCAGCCGTGAGGGATACGGATCCCTCAAGCACTAGGCTATGGGCTAGCCTACTTCCTTTTTAAAAATGAAGACTGACCTTTGGTAAGTAAGTACATTTGAGAACCCAGGAATACTGAGTATCGATATATTTGGTATGCCACTAGGTTTCGTTCAAGCTTAGCTTAGTTATTCTTAGGAACAATGTGTTCGCTTTTGATTATATTTAAAAGTATGCATATACTTACGGTACTAATTCCTGTTTGAACCAGAGAGGAAATGCCAGATACTTCCAAAGAATATAGTATTTCCATTGCAGGTAATGAATAAACCATGAGATTTCTCATCTAAGAAAAATAACGGAACAATGAATATAGATGTGGTCAGTATAAAACTACCTAGCACAAGACAGCACTTCGCAACCAAGAGCACAGATGAAAACAACTGGTACCAGCTAAATTACCGGTGAGTCTGTGACTACATTGGTAATGCATACAATTGCCCTCTCTCCCATCCTTCAAATCTGCTGAATAAAAATCCACATCTGAGTCCACTGTATACTTTCCAAGGGAAATATCATTCCAAAACTAGTAACAGCTACTATAATAAACATTTTGCACACATTTTTTATTCCCGACATGTTCCATTAAAATGTGGGGCTGAGATTGAGAACCGTTGCTTTAAAATGGGACAAAGAAGTTCTGTAGGATTATTTCTTTTTTTTGGAGAGGTTTTTACCATAGGGCGCGTGCGCTCGCCAGACAGAGACAGAGAGACAGAAAGCGAGAAATCACCCCCAAGGGGGGATGGTCACACCGCAATCCCTTCTCCTCCATTCTCCTCTCGGGATCTTGGGCACGCACGCACACGCACCTGGCGTGAGTTTTAAGCCACCATGTCCAGGATGCGAACTGCGGTCGACTACATGGGAGTCCAGCGACATAGCCATTACGCTAACTGCTGATCCCGTCTGTAGGATTATTTCAGATTTATGAAGTGCTGTGTGAACTAAGAACTCGCGTGCTGTGAGCTCGAGTTCACATCTATTTCCATTTTATGCTATTTCTTTCTCTTTTAATTTTTAGTTGTTATTATTTGCCATAGTCACCAGAGAGAGACAGAGAGAGATGGAAAGTGAGAAAGCCAGCTGCCAGGTCTGAGACTTGAATTATAGTTGGCCACCCGGGTGTCCAGCACCTTAACCACCATGGCCCCTGCTGGTCTCCATCTTTCTTTCTTTTTAAAAAACCATTTATTTATCTATTTATTTGTTGTGATCTTCAGGCAGCCTGGTCCAGGACTTGAACTGTACCTGGCCACGTGGGAATCCAGCACCTTAACACCACGCCACCGGCCCGTCCCTTTATTATACTCTTTCTAACAATCTGGACAAGCACAAAATAAAATTTCCAGTACCTTCTTATTAGTTGTAGTTGTCAGAGCTACTAATTTGAGATTTGTAATCCCTTGCCTACAAGAGAAAAGAAGCTTTAAGTAACTCGAGTAAACTCAGCCAGCTGATAGAGCAAAGCTAAGTTAGTGATACTCCTGCCTCACGTAAAACTGGAGTTACACGGAAGACAGTGGGTTCTGCTTCCCCGTGTCCCGACTCAGGCCGACACAGTTTCTCATACGGTCACTTGGCACCTCCTCATCCCACGTGTTCCCAGGGACTCTGGCCCATGACACCTCAGTGCTGACTGACTGTTCAACAGCGTTGTTCAGAATGCAAAAAGTAACGACTGATCTGCACAAAACCAGGTGAGAAAGCCGGTGCTAACCCGAACGGAGACTTAGAGACCACGCACCAGGTGACCGAGGAAGGCGAGTCTGCCTCTGTAGTAAGGATAAACTCTTCGATGTGGAGAGAGGGCCAGTTCCACACGGGAGTCAGAGTGTAAACATCCCATAAACTCAGCACGTTCTGCAAGAAAGACATTCCATCTACACAGCTTAATCCTTCAAAGCTTCCATTTCGGATGGAGAGAGGGCCAGTTCCACACGGGAGTCAGGGAGGAAACATCCCATAAACTCAGCATGTTCTGCAAGAAAGACATTCCATCTACACAGTTTAATCCTTCAAAGCTTCCATTTCGGGATAAGCTGCTCACCCGTAAGACTGAAATGAGTGTTACAGCTCTTTTAGAATTTGTCCAGCAGGTTTCTGGTTTTACCAGAAGGCTCCCCACCCCCCCAAAAAAAGATGGAAATAAAACACAGTACACGAGATAGCCATCCACCCTGCTAACGTCGCTTTATGAGCCTGACATTTCTGTTGTTAACCGTAATACCGCGCGGGAACTCTGAGGGAGAAGGATCAGGAACATACATCGGTATCGAGAACGAAGAGTAGGTTGTCTATCAGCTGGAACTTCTTGGCACCTACAAAAGAGAAAGCCAGATGTCTATGGATGTTATTTCAGTGTTACGTGAAGCCATATTTAAATAGTAAACGAACATAGTGACAGGAAAGTCAAACCGTACTTAAACACAAAGCTCCCCAGGCCAGCGCCACAGCATAGTGGTTGGGGGAGCTGGATTCCCAGATGGCTGAGCCCAGGTTACGTACCCACCCCAATCGCTCGAGAAAATTCCAGGTACATGCATGCATGTGCCCAAGATCCTGACAGAAAGAAGGAAAGGAGGAAAAGCATTATGGCACGACTGCACCCCATTGGGGGGTGCTTTCTCTTCCTCTTTCTCTTTCTGATGCTCACATTAGTCCTCTGACAAGAGAATTAAAACACATTTTTTTTTCAAGTTCCCATTTTCATGTACCCCGCTATTATTTTTTTTCAGGTGACCAATAAAATGTAAAACCTCCCAAAATTAAGAGTAGCAACAAGTCAAGAAACAGCCGTGGGACCCAACAGGTGGCATAATGGTTAAGGTACGGGGCTCCCACTGGACAGCTGACCACAGTTCAAGTCCCAGACCCAGCAGCTTGACTATCACGCCACGCGTGTGTTTGTATGTGCTCAATATCCCAAGAGGAGAATGGAAGAGAAGGGATTGCGGTGTGGCCAACCCCTGGTGAGGGGAAAAGGGGAGGGTGTTTTTTTTCACTTTTTCTCCCTCTGCCTCTATCTCTTTCCAGTGAGCGTACATGCCCTATGGCAAAAACCTTAAAAAAAAAAAAAAGAAAGAAAGAAAAGGAACAGTTGTGTATGTAACAATTATCAGATTCAACTGGCTCATCTCAAAGAGTAGTATGGTAAAATGGCCCACGTGCTAGCTTAAGTACTGACATAACAAAATGGAGATGAAGACTCACTGATAATTACCAGGAGTTTCACTAACGTACTTTACCTTTAATAATCTCTGCATCAACAAAGTTCTTAACGGTCATTCCCTTCCTGGAAGAGTCTGCTTCCCACTTTGTGAATGTGTAGTTACCACTTCCCTAGAAAGGCAAAAAGGTACACTGGTTGCCCATTTTTGTTCTCAGATCTTAATCTTCTTTGAAGTAGACATGTGAGTTGTACACATTATTAATTTCAAAATACGTTTACATATTCAAGGTTAACTAAATTTTATCTTAGTTCCTCTTAGTTTCAAGAGAAAAATGAAAAGAAAAAAACAGTAAACTATTGATAGTTATTGTTATTAAATAAGTATTTCACAAGCAGAGAGACGAGCAGATGGCGTAATGGCTATGTCACTGGATTCCCATGTAGTCAACTGCAGTTCGAGTCCTGGACCAGGTGGCTTAAACTCATGCCAGGCGCGTGTGTGTGCATGTCCAAGATCCCGAGAGGAGAATGAAGAGAAGGGATTGCAGCATGGTCATCCCCGCTGGGGTGTGATTTCTCACTTTCTGTATCTCTGTCTCTCTGTTTTTCCGGCAATCGCACGTACTGTATAGCAAAATCCTCTTAAAAATAAAATAATAATAATAATTAAGAAGCGAAAAGCACATTCAAGTAAAAATGCTGTAAATGCTGCAATTATACTGAATTCTTGCCACTCCTCAGATATGCTTTTCCTCAAATAAGAGTATGACCAGTTAACAGAAGTGACATGTAAGTAACAAAATATAAATTTTGGGGGGCTAGCAGGTGGTGTAGTGGTTGGGGCACTGGACTCCTACATGGCCAACTGCAGTTCGAGTCCTGGACCTGGCGACTTGCTTTCTCATTTTCCTTCTCTCTCTGTCTCTGGTGAGCACATGTACCTTACAGTAAATAAAATAATAATAAATAAAATTTAAAAAATAATAAATAAATTTTCACTGAGACATTATTCAGCAAGGTATACAAGTTAAGTTCGTTTTCTGATGGTGCCATTGTACTTTTCCCTGTACAGATTACATCTTTATTTTCACCAATATCTATCTGAAATTTAACATTTCTTTCATTTATGAATTCAGGCCAAAAAAAAGTAGAATGAGTAGCAGCCGTGAGTTTGTCACCAACGGCCACCCTCCTTCCTGCTAGAGGCGCCACAGTGGGTACAATTTTAAAGCAGGGATGTGCGGACAGTATTTCAAGACAGCTGCGATAGGGTTGTTTTGGTTTTGTTTTTGTTTTGTAATGTGCAGTTTCTATTGAGTGACAAAAATCACAGGGAACTTCGGGACAGGAATTTTCAGTTTTGCTTTGTGCTGTTTTGCCTATACTCCTAGTTTTTATTTAATTTTTTAGGTTTATTCTTTCCATCAGAGAGAAAAGAGACAGGTACCCCCAAGAGGGTCCTCACACCACAATCCAGTCCAGGCCTTAGGCATGCACGCGCATGTGCCCCCAGAGTACCCAGGGCGGCTCTGGGACAGGAACCCAGAACCTTTCCCATGTGGGTCCAGTCGTGTTCTCACCCGGTCGCATACACTCATAATTGAGAGAAACACTAAATTCCTAATAGAGAATGGTGAAAATAAATGTAGAAAGTTAGGGTTACTGGTGCAGTTAATGTCCTTAATTTTATTATTTCCCTGTTTCTGTTACACATTACAAATTAATTTGTATGTAGACAAAATGATACGGTTTAGTGAAAAAACACTTTCAGACAACCAAAAACAAAATTTTAATAAAAAGAATTACCCCAATTATCACAGGGACTTCACTCGCTAAATCTCCAGTCACAAGATTGAGACAGCCAAGAGTATGATAGTTTTCAGTAGAAAGAAAACTGGACTTGATCTGTCCTTGGAACTGTGAAATTAAAAAAAACAAGACTGTTCATATACATCCCAAAGAATCACAGACATCAGTTTAAATTGCTAAACAAGTACTTTAAACAGAAATGTTAACATGCTGTCTGATAATTCCTAACATATCAACCAGGGGACTATTACGTGCAGAAATATCCTTTACAATTACGTGAAATGTAAGTTGAAACAGGACTACATGGCTTTGTTTTCTTACCTTTTTTGCTGCACTGAAGTCTCCACTCTCAATTGCTGCATTAAAAAAGAATATAGGCTAAATGTATTGTATTAATTATGAAACAAGACAAGTCACCCCTTTGGTGTAAAAGGGAAATTAAATAGAATACAGTTTAAAGAAAACAGGCCAGAATTAATAAGGCACTGCTGGTGCCTTGGCTTTGCCCATTGCCATGATATAAACTGTCACTATGGGGGCCAGCAGATGGTGGGATGGATACGTCACTGGACTCCCACGTAGTTGACCGCTGTTCGAGTCCCGGACCTGGCAGCTTAAACCCATGACAGGCAAGTGTGCATGTGTGTCCAAAATCCCGAGAGAATAGAGAAGGGATTGTGGCATAGCCATCCCCCCTGGGCGGGGGTGATAACTTACTTTCTGTCTCTCTGGTGAGCACATACCCTATAGCAAAAATTTCTAAAAAAAAATTAATAATAACAAAAACTGTCACTATGCATCGTGTTCAAGGCACCAGCCGGGTTGCCTTGCGGTCCCCACAGGGCCTTCCTGTATCTCGCTTCTCACCTTCTCCTCCTGAGATCTCCCTGCTCCAGCTCTCCTGTTCCAGCTCTCAAAGCTGAACTGTAACGTCTTCATCACGTCTTGTTTGTTTTGTTTTAGAACAGGTCTCTTGAGTGTCTAGCTCCTTTGTTAAACTATGGAAGCCCATCTTAAATATTCTTGTATACCCAGGACAAACAGCACAGTCCTCGCACAGAACAGATGGCTTAAAACCATCTACTGAGGGCCGGCCCCACGGCATACTGGAGGGAGCTGGATCGCACATGGCTGACCATGTAGTCTGAATCCCAGCCCTGGCCACATGACAAAACGTGCCAGGTCCACATGTATGCGTGCATGCCCAACACGCTGACAGGATAGAGAAATGGAGGTGGGGCTGCCACATAACCAAGCCCCATTATGGGGTGCTCTCTCCCTCTCCATCTCTCTGGTGAGCACATGCACTCTCCAGAAAAAATGGAGAAAAAAGTTTACTGAACACATGCTCTGAATCAATTCTCCAAATAATCTCACCTGGACCAGAGGAGGATGTGTCCCCCTACGTGCTAAACACACACTGGAGATGAATGCTGTGCACCATTAATACCTACACACATACATAATAATTTTCATATCTAGGTTCTTTCATGCCATCAAAAGCCATTTATTATTGGGACCAGCAGGTGGAGTAGTGGTTAAGGCGCTGGACACTCCCACATAGCCAACCACAGTTTGAGTCCCAGACCTGGTGGCTTCATTTCTCACTTTCTCTCTCTCTCTGTGTCTTTCTCTGGTCAAACAAACAAAAAAAGAGAATAAATAATTCTTCAAAAAACAAACAAAAACATTTATTATTGCACTAGTGCTTACCTTGTTTCCCCAGCTAAGCTCTACATTTCTTTCTTTTTTTTTTTTTTAAGATTTATTTATTTGATTTGATTTATTTTGACGTTTTTGACCAGAGAAGGACAGAGTAAGGGTAAGAACGAGGATGAGAATGAGAGAGAGACAGTGAGAAAGCGAGCCACCAGTTCTGGGACTTGAACCACAGTCGACCATGTGGGAGTCCAGCACCCTTAACCATCATGCCACCTGCTGGCCCAGCTCTACACTTCTTAAAGGCCATAACCAAATTACATTTCTTCAGATTCTGTTGAAGCCCTACCTAACAGAGGGGAATAAATACACTTCCTCCAAACACTTGAAAATAAACCAAGTATCATACAATGCAATTAATTAAAATACTATTAAGCAGAATATTTGAAAATTTACTTGGAAAACTAACAAATACTACTGTAAATCAATAATAAAATAATACGGGGGACTGTAGGTAGCATGGCTGACCACAGTTCAAGTCCCAGACCTGGCAGCTTGCTCTTTCTCACTTTCTCTTTCTCTGTCTAATCAAATCAAAAAACAAAAAACCAAATAAACAAAAACAAATGGAATTAAATAAGTAATTATTTAAAAAATAAAATAAAATAATGGGGCCAGTTAGTGGCATAGTAGTTAGGCAACTGGATCCCGCATGGCTGTGCGATTCGAGTCCTGGACCTGGAAGCTTGAAAACACACCGGTGCGCTTGTGTGTGTACCCAAAATCCCAAGAGGAGAATAGAAGAGAAGAGATTATGGAGTGGCCATCCCCTGTAGGGTGACTTCTCTCTCTCTCTCTCTCTCTCTCTCTCTGTTACTTACCTTGCTGAATTTTTAAAAGCTGAAGGTTTGTAACACAAAAAAGTCCGCTGTTTGTAAGAAGCAACATATAATAGGTACCTATTCCAAAAATAAATCAAAATTAATTCCTCTAGTAAGCACATGGATATAAAATCTAAATGAGTATCTGAGACTAATTTAAAAATATGTCATTTTGCTGATTTAATTTCTAGTCAAATAATACAGTAATGATACATAGAACACTTTTGTACAGGGACCAGCAGGTGGCATGGTGGTTAAAGGTGCTAGATTCCCACATGGCCAACTGTGGTTCAAGTCCCAGAGCTGGCGGCTTGCTTTCTCGCTTTCCTTTTCTGTCTCTCACTTGTCAAATAAAAAAATAATAACAAATGGAATTAATTAAACCCTAAAAACAAACAAACAAAAAAAAACCTTATGTACAAAGAATTGGGAAGTTCCTTGCAAAAATGAGAAAAACTCTGAAATTTTTATTAAAAACTAAACCACGCGCACCAAAATAATCATCCAGTTATCATGTGTTAAAATATGATAAATGTGCTAAAATTAAAAAAAAAACCTTGAAAGAATATAATGTCTCCTTGGTAATCTACAGACCTCTCAAAACTATAAAAATGAATTTAGAATATTATATCTAGGAAAAGCAAATGATTAAACCACTGATAAGACCTAAAATTAAAAAATTTTTCCTTACAATAATATAAATTGCCTCAACAAAAAGCTTAGTACTGAGTATGTAAACATAACAAGGAACTTATACAATTTATTAACCATAAATATGAGTTTTGGACTAGGTATTATTTAGAACTCAAAGGTAAGTGGGGACCAGCAAGTGGCATGGTGGTTAAGAAAAGTGGACTCCCAACATGGCCAACTGAGGTTCAAGTCCTGGACCAGGCCACTTGCTTTCTAACTTTCCCTCTCTCTCTGTCCCTCTCTGGTCAAATTAAAATAAATAAATTAATTAATTAAAGTTAAATAAAAAAAAAAATTCTAAAAAAAAAAAATCAAAGGTAAGAAAACTTGCTTTGGGGCCGGCAGGTGGTGTGGTGGTTAAAGGAACTGAATTCCCACATGGCTGACGGTGTTCTAGTCCCGGACCTGGTGGTTTGCTTTCCCCTTCTCTCTCTGAGGTCAAATGAAAAGATAATAATAATAACAAATAGAATTAATTACATAAGTAAATAATTCTATAAAAAAAAAGAAAGAAAACTTACCTTTATTTGATCCATCCTTCTCAATAACAAGATTCTGGTAAGTACACCGATTTTCATCCGTAGCTTTCTGAACAAAAGCCTAATTGCGAAGTAAGTTCAAATGATAATATTTATTCCAGAAAAGTACATCAAGAATTATATTCTTCAAACCCAGAATTATAATTATCATTAGGAAGAATTCTACCTATTTTACAAACATTTTAGTTTTAAGGTAGAAAATTATTTTAGGTAAGCACATTAAATATCTTCAAAGACAAATTTTCCCATTTGCATTTACTTTGTAAATTTCCAAAGTCTGATTCTTAAACTTAATGTAAAATTATTCTTTTAATTTTAAACCTAAGTGTTGGTTTGTTAGATTATCCTCTAAGAGACTCACATAATGAAAATGAAGACTATAATAAGACCTTACGTTAGTGAGTAATGTCTGCTTTGATGGCACGTGAATAAGATGTAAGTTGCCACTTCTCTCTCCAACCAAAAGAAACTTTCCTTCTTGACACAGGCCAACCACATCCACCACGGTATCTAAAATGTTCAAAGTTACAAGCTTCCTTTGTTAGTGCTTATTTGCAATACAAAAAAATAGTGCAAATTTTCACATTAAAAAATCCAACTGTTGGGGCCGGCAGGTGGTGTGGTGGTTAAGGACACGGGACTCCCACATGGCTGCCAGCGGTTCGAGTCCCAGATCTAGCAGCTTGCTTTCTCATTCTCGCTCTCCTCACTCACTCTGTCTCTCCCTGGTCAAATTAAAATAAATAAAATTAAGTAAAATAATTCTTTAAAAAAAAAAGCCAACTGTAGGAGCCAGCAGGTGGCATGGTATTTAAGGTGCTGGACTCCCCTATGGCCCACTGCATTTCAAGTTCTGGACCTGTGTCTGTCTGTCTGTCTATCTCTCTCTGTATGTCCCTCTCTGGTCTAACTGAAGAAGAAGAAATAAAATTAAGTAGGTATTAAGAAAAAGGAAATAATGTTAAAAAATAAAAAAGTACATGTGCCATCTGGCAGTTACATAGTTTTAAATTTTTTATAATTTATGAATTAAAATGATCCAGTAACAATAATTTCACACAAACATATTATAGATGGCCAAAATCCACTATATTTCATTAGTGAAACTGTGATTTTTGAGGACCAATCAGGGTCAATCTTCCAAAATAGAGTTTCTTACCTCCATATTGTGATGGAGATGACAGTCTCAAGTGGAAGCCTTCAATTGCTTTTCAACTGTCTAAGTTCTCTTTTTTAAAGAATTATTTTATTTATTTCATTCATTACTGTTATTTACTTATTTATTTTTTGAAGTTGACCAGAGATAGAGAAGGAAAGTAAGAAAGCAAGCTGCCAGGTTTGGGACTTGAACCATGGTCAGCCATGTGGGAGTCCAGCTGCCTTAACCACCACACCACCTGGTGGCCCCTCAGTTGTCTAAGTTCTTACACAAGTATTTCAACAATCATCACTCTCAAAATTTCTACTCGAGATAAAGCTTTGAAATTTTCACCTTATTTCAGCACAATCACTGATTTTTAATTCACAGTTTAAGTCTGTTTACACTTAAAACCCTTTAACTCAATGAAGAATAAATTCATAAGTATTGCAAAAGATTTTTACAGTGCTATACATCCTAGAAGTATTCAAATATCTGTTGATGATATTGAAATTATACACAAGATTCAGGAACTTAAACACCAATGGCCATAAATGTTCAATGTGATCAATAAAATTGTTGTTTTACATGTATTTTTCTCCTTGAGCTTTCTGAGAAAAGGGATCACCTCAATATTTTTTAAGTCTAGTGCCCAGGACAAAAAAGTACTCATGACTAGCACCAACAAGTTACTGAATCCCACATGGCTGTGTGGCTTTAGCCCCAGAGTCGGTGACTTGAGAACACACCATGTGTGCCCAAAATCCTGAGAGGGGAATGGAGAAGGGACTGCAATGCGGCCAACCCCTCTGGGGTGGGGGTGGGGAACATCTATTTCTCTCTCTCCAGCAAGCACAAATGCCCTATAGCAAAACTTTTTAAAAAGGAACTCGTGATTTATTTCTTGAAATTAGTCTAATTTTGGTTTTAAAAACAAGAAAAGGCAGTCCAGTAAAAACTGATAGCAAGATACATTTGACTGCTAATGTCTTTTATTTCCTTACATTAGACTTACCAAAAATAAGATGCAATTGAAGTGATCTACAAATACTGTCAAGCAGGATAATGGATTGATCTGCTACAATAACAAACCCATCACTAAAGCTGCAAGCTTGTATCTTTGGATCTAATGAGGCCTGTGGGAAGGAAAGCATGACTAAAATTAAAACATTTCGATCGATACAAGTGTAACAATGCTTAGCAACAGTATCTTCATTGTCTCAAACACTCAGCTTTAAAACTTACTAGGGGGCCAGCAGGAGGTATGGTAGAATGGAGAAAGGATTGTGGCATGGCCATCCCCCCCCCCCGGGCGGCATGCCCACCCCCCCCCCCGGGCGGGGGGGGGGGCAATTTATCACTTTCCCTCCAGTAAGCCTCTGCACCCTATGGAGCTATGAGAGGTTCAGTTTTCGAAATAGTGAAAATTTTGAGACTGAACTTTGATTCCCCAGGAAAGTGCTACATTCACAAAACATTTACCTAGGGTGGGACCAGTAGATGGAGTAATGGTTATGTTGCTAGACTCCCCAACCCTGAAAAGTCAAGCCGGGCATGTGTGCATGTGTGCCCAAGATCAGGAGAGGAGAATGGAGGAGATTGTGGCTGAAAATTCATGCCGGGTGTGTGTGCATGTGTGCCCAAGATCCAGAGAGGAGAATGAAGAAGGGATTGTGGCGCAGCTAATCCCCTAGGGCGGGGGTGGTGGTGGTGATCTCTCACTTTCTGCCTCTCTAGCGAGTGCATGCACCCTATAGTAAAAATCTCTTTCAAGAAAAATAAAAAAAAAAAGACAAGACATTTACCCTGGACTACCTGGCCTACTGAGCACTCGGTGGAAATTTTGTGAATGAAAGACTCAGTGCCATCATCAATACCTTTTCAGAGGAGATCTTCAGAAGCAAATCTACTTGATACAAAGCAGTTCCATGCTCTTTTCTTGAGCCAACACTCAAGTACCCGCTCCCTGTATCATCACTGGTTAGCAGCTCAATGTCACTCCACATGCTCCTGGGACTGTCTTCCTGCGTCAGGAACTACTCTTTATCCTGTGACGATGTGGAACGTGAGAGACCAAATTATTTTGTTGCATAGAGTCCAGTTCCTTGGGAAATAAAAAGGCTTATTCAGAAGACAAAACAGGGGCTGGCAGGTAGCGTGGTGATTGGGGTACTGGACTCCCACATGGCCCACAGTGGTTCGAGTTCTGGACCTGGCAGCTTGCTTTCTCACTTTCTCTCTCTCTGGTGAGTGCACATGTCCTACAGCAAATTAAAATAAAAATAATTAAATAATTCTAAAAAAAAAAAAGACAAAGCTACTACCAACTTATAAGAACTTCTTTCTCTCTGTGCTATTTCTGTGGTCACTAGATACTTTGGACAAATAAGATAAATGAAACTTTAAAAAAAATTTTTTTTGTGGGACCAGCAGTGGGCGTAATGGCTATGTCACTGGACTCCTATGTAGTTGACCACAGTTCGAGTCCATGATCGGGTGGCTTAAACTCACACCGGGCACGTGCGCGCTTGTGTGTGTTGTGTGTTTGTGTCCAAGATCCCGAGAGGAGAGTGGAGGAGAAGAGACTGCGTCATGGCCATCCCCCCCAGAGAGGTAATTTCTCGCTTTCTGTCTCTCATTGTCTTTCTGTAGAGCGCATGCGACCTATAGCAAAGACCTCTCAAAAAAAATTTTTTTTTTTTTTATTTGCTAAGGGCACATGCACTTGCCAGAAAGAGACAGAGAGAGGAAAAGTGAAAAAGCATACCACAACAGGGAAGGATGGCCATATCACAATCCCTTCTTCATTTCTCTTTCAGGATTTTGGGCATATATGCATACAGGCTCAGTGAATTTTTTATTTTTTTTTTTAACAGATGGGTCTGGGAACACCACCTGCTGGCCCAACAATAGCTTTTTTTTTTTTCTGTGAGGTTTTTGCCTTAGGGCCCAATGCCAGCCTATCGGTGGGAGACACACAGAGATAGAGGAAAAGTGAGAAACCGCCCCTCAGGGGGATGGCCACACTGCAGTCCCTCCTCTATTCTCCTCTTGGGATTTAGGGCACACACGCACATGCGCCTGGCATGATTTTCAAGCTGCCAGGTCAGGTCTCAAGCTGAGCTTGGCTATGGGGGAGCACCTTAACACCACACCCCCTGCTGGCCCCCCAACAGTAGCTCTTAAACACAGGAAGAGTTCTTGCTCAGAGTGTAAACAAGGGTACAGAAACAAAGCACACGCTTGCCAGCATACTTTTCAAGGTATGGGACTCAAACAGTACAGTCAGCCACTTGGGGTTCAGCCCCCTTAAAAGGACAGTGGCTGGTTCCACAATAGTTTTAGTGGCTGTGGGACCAGCAGTTAGCGTAATGGCTATGTCGCTGGACTCCCACGTAGTCAACCGCAGTTCGAGTCCCGGACCTGGTAGCTTAAACTCACACCAGGCGCGTGTGCGTGCGTGCCCAAGATCCCAAGAGAAGAATGGAGGAGAAGGGATTGCGGTGTGGCCATCCCCTCTGGGGGGTGATTTCTTGCTTTCTATCTCTCTGTCTCTCTCTGTCTGTCTGGCGAGCGCACTCGCCCTATAGCAAAAACCTCTCCAAAAAAAAAAAAAGTTTTAGTGGCTGGTGTTTAGATGGGAGTTGGGAGATCAAGACAGGAGGGACAGACTGGATCATATTTTTATGAGTCTCAGTTATCCACATCTATCAAATAGAGAAATACTATCAAGTTCCAAGGGCTGTCATACTCACTTAACAACTTTTTTGATGCCTACTATGTGCCAGGCACTATTCTAGGAGCTCAGAATGTAGTTGTGAACAAGGAAGAAAATGCCTCTGCCATTTGGAAGCTTATACTGCGGCAACAACAGACAAAAATAAAATAGTTAACATATAATGGGTATTTCTTGCCTATCCAGAACAGTTTTGAACACTTTATAACCCGTGCCATATTGGAGGAACACATGTCAGCGATTAAATAATCAACCAAGAGCACCTGGAGCGAATAAACTGTGTAAATGCATTTGGACTCAATCTGTCCGTTCTTAACCCTCAACCTAAAACATTAGTAAATGCAAAAGTGATTACAAAAAGCAGTGATTTTTGAGGGATACAACAGATAAGGGAGAAATCGCTTAAGAAAGATCCGTTGGGGAAACGAAGGCGCTAACAGGAAGCCAACTAAGCAAAGCCCAGGAGGAACAGCGAAGCAGGCAGCTGGAGCGAAGCGTGCAAAGGCTCCGAGGCTCCGTCGGGCCACAGCATCGGCGGGAGACAGCGCGGAGACGCAGGTGGAGCCAAATGACACCTGAACTTCAAGGGTCGGTTTTACTCTCCGTGCAAGGGGACGCAGATACCTGGTAGCTGGGTGACCTGGTTGAAGGGAGGTTTGAAATCACTTTGGGTGCAGGGTGGAGAACGGATTAGCGAATGTGGGACAAGCCGAGTCGGCTAGGCCTCCATACACAAGCGCCTTCAGCTGGCCCTCGCTACCCGCAAGGACCGACTCCGACCTCTCTCCCGCCGGTTTCTAGAGGAAAAAAAAAAACACCCCGAACTGGGCAGTACGCGGACCTGACCCCACGCCCGGGTCCAGCAGCGCGGCTCCCGCTCCTCACCTGCAACTGAAGAACCTAGGCAGGAGCACCCAAAAACCTCGCCCCTCCTCCTGACTCACACAACCGCCTCTACTCTCTTAGGGTTCCATTCCCCGTTTAAATTGGCGGGAGAACACTAAGTCCAACCCCTTTTACGGCGGCCGACGGAGGCCAAAATAGCTGTAGAAGCGAAAACGCGAAGTTGCCCCACCCTAAATTCCACCCATTCTTAGCTCCCGACTACGCCTTCTAGGCGGTACTCTTGGCTCCGCCCACATCGCTGATTTTACACGCCCCCTTCAAAGGAACAACCAATCAACGTCTCGAACTGCGTTGCTATAGAAACTCTTATCACCGCCCCTTTTCCTCCCAGCAAGCCCTGCGCGGCGCCGGGCCTCCTCGCCTTTGTGCCATCCGGGTCTCTTCCGCGAGCGATTTAGTCTGTGGCGAAGCGTCGGGGCGGCCGGTACTGTTGGAAGCGGGCA